AACCTAAAAGCCCCAAAATTTCCCGTCTTTGCCCACCCAAGGCCATACAAACATTGGGATTGGGAACCAGAGAACAAACACAAATAAAGATCCCATTAAAGTTTTGCTGAAGGGAACTGGGGGTGGCAGGAACAGCCAGATTGGGCTGATTTGGGGTTACCTGGGGTGATTTGGTGCTCCTGGCAGGGATTGGGGGTGATTTGGGGTGATTTGGTATCATTGGGGCTGATTTGGGGTCATTTGGGGTGATTTGGTATCATTGGGGCTGATTTGGGGTCCCTGGGGGTGATTTGGGGTCCCTTGGCAGGGCTCAGGGCTGAATTGATGATATTTGGGGTGACCTGGTGCTATCTGGGGTGATCTGGTGCTATTTGGGGTGATTTGATGATATTTATGGTGATTTGGTGATATTTGGGGTGATCTGGTGGTATTTGGGGTTGATTTGGTGTCCCCAGCAGGGCCCAGGAGGTGATCTGGTGATATTTGGGGTGATCTGGCAATATCTGGGGTGATTTGATGATATTTGGGGTCATTTGGTGCTATTCGGAGTTGATCTGGTGTCATTTGGGATCATTTGGTGTCCCCAGCAGGGCTCAGGGGTGATCTAGTACTATTTGGAGTTGATTTGGTGGTATTTGGGGTGATCTGGTGATACCTGGGGTTGATCTGGTGTCATTTGGGGTGACCCAGTGTCCCCAGCAGGGCTCAGGGGTGATCTGGTGCTATTTGGGGTTGATCTGGTGTCATTTGGGGTTGATTTGGTGTCATTTGGGACCATTTAGTGCCCCCAGCAGGGCTATGGGGTGATCTGGTGCTATTTGGGTTGATTTGGCGGTATTTGGGGTTGATCTGGTGCTATTTGGGGTTGATCTGGTGCTATTTGGGATCATTTGGTGCCCCCAGCAGGGCCCAGGGGTGATCTGGTGCTATTTGGGGTTGATTTGGTGTCATTTGGGATCATTTAGTGTCCCCAGCAGGGTTATGGGGTGATCTGGTGCTATTTGGGTCGATTTGGTGGTATTTGGGGTTGATCTGGCGGTACTTGGGGTTGATCTGGTGATATTTGGGATCATTTGATGGCCCCAGCAGGGCTCAGGGGTGATCTGGCGATATTTGGGGTTGATCTGGTGCTATTTGGTGTTGATTTGGTGTCATTTGGGATCATTTGGTGTCCCCAGCAGGGCCCAGGGGTGATCTGGTGTCATTTGGGATCATTCAGTGCCCCCAGCAGGTCCCAGTCCCACCCCACAGTCCCCAC